ACATGCCCAGGATATGCTGTCTAGGGGCTGTTGTACTGAGCAGAATGCAGGGGTGGGGGTGGGGTTTGATCCTGTAAGACATTCTCTTCTAATGAGATAAACTGGATAAATATAGCTCTCTCCCCCCTTTCATATATCCTATCCCTTCTTAATTTCTAACCTTTCCCTTACTTTTTCCTTCCTTCCTTCCTTCCTTCCTTCCTTCCTTCCTTCCTTCCTTCCTTCCTTCCTTCCTTCCTTCCTTCCTTCCTTCCTTCCTTCCTTCCTTCCCTCCTTCTTTCTCTAGGAAGTATTGTTCATTCCTGCTTCTGTACCTATTCTTGTAAAATTTGTTGAAGATGATGAAGAGGCTTTGGGGAAAGTTTACCCATGGGGTACATTGCACTGTGTACTTTTCCTCTCTAAATTCTATATGCTTGAAATCAGGTTAAAACTAGCATCAAGGGCTTTCTTGAAGGGAGTATGGGTATATAGGGAAGTGGGTAGGGGTCATCTTACATTCTTGCCTTGGTGATGGTAACAATTCTATGATAGATGAGGTAGATGAGGCTAGGGTCTTCATCTGAGTATTAGCCAGAGGAGCCCTGTCCACATTATGTACTTAGGTAATGAAGTGGCATAGTGGGTAAAGTGCTGTACTTGGAGGCAGAAAGACCTGAATTCAAATTCTGCCTCAGACATTTACTAGCTATGTGACCTTGGGCGAGGTACTTAACTTCTCTCAGTGTCAGTTTCCTCAATTATAAAATTAAAGAGTTGGTCCTTATGGTCTCCAACATCACTTCTATCTCTAAATCTATGATCCTATGAAGATAGTGGATACTCTTCAAGCTAGTGGCATCTGGAGTTTGGAACAGAGGAAGAGAATGAAAAGCATAGAGGCTTTTGTGCTCATTTGCAATGGTGATAGGAACAGAGCGTGGAAGTGAGCTCTTAGTGGTAGAGGAAAGTCCCTCTACCAGCCAAGGTTGGCAACTTCTCTTTTAAGTGTTAGCATCCAGTACCTAGAAACTTATTTAGGGCCACACACAGAGCTTAAAGCCAGGTTATCCTTGTTTTGAGGCTGGCTTTCTACCCGCTATACATCACTACCTCAGGAAAACAGATATAAACTTCAATTATTTAATCATCCTAACATGTGGCCACATAGGATAAGCAAACTGAGAAGACTGAAAGCTACAAAAAAGTCCTCTTATTTATCTTTTTTTTTTTTTGGCTAGGCAATGGGGTTAAGTGACCTGCCCAGGGTCACACAGCTAGTTAAGTGTTATGTGTCTGAGACCAAATCTGAATTCAAGTCCTCCTGAATCCAGAGCCTGTCCTCTATCTACTGCACCACCTAGCTGTCCCCCCCCTTAACTATAAAAAAAAATTCTCTCTACTCTTGCTAGAATGCTTAAAATAAAGTTCTCATAGGCAATTCTTTGAGAAGGCTTGACTTTTGATTGTTTATTGACAATACCTTACTTAGAATATCTTCATCAGATTAACCAAGTAGTCATTTTTCATGGCCCTGAAGAAATGGGGCAAAGGTCAAGTAAGTTTTTATAGACTAGGAAGGAGGGTCAGGGAAGCACCGGTATTGCTTCAGAGGGCAAGCCTGGATAGGCCTTTCCGATGAGAGATCCTGGACAACTGAACTCTGCTTTTTTTGTGGAGTAACTCTTTGATGACAATAGTAAAATGTCACTGGGTATTTGAAAATTAGTGTGAATGGTTAGCACCAAAGACAATTTTAACTCCTTGTCAATTGTCTCTCTTTACAATTCTGCATTCTATCCTACCACACCTGGTATTTCATAGAATTCAGAATTTAAAAGTTGAAAGAACCCTCCATGGCCATATAGACCAACCACACAGGAAAAAGACCTGGATCAGTTCCTTAGCTTCTAAGTGTTCTCAGCAGCTTTTTAAGATTATAAGATGACAACCTACATCAACGGAGGAAAGTTTCTCACCCAAGGTTTTCCTTATACCAATGAAATCACAGATCTCATCCTTAACGCTATCTTTCTTTTTGGTTTCTGCAACTAGCTATTGACCCATATTAAGTTAATAGTCCACTAAAACTTCCCAGATCTTTTTCAGATAAACTGTTGTTTAACTACATCTAACTCTATCTTGTATTTGTGAAACTGATTTTTCATCCCTAGAGTAACTTTACATTTACCTCCACTGAATTTCATCATCTTGAATTTGTCTCAACGTTCTAGCTTGTCAAGATGCTTTTGAACCCTGACCCTGTTACCTTGTGTGTTAGCTATCCCTCTATTTTTTTTGTCCATTTGCACATTTGATAAGCATACCATCTATGACTTTATCTGCCATTGATAAAAATGTTACGTTAGTAGCACAGGGCCAATCAAGCATGGATCCCTGGGACGCTATACTCCAATCTCTATAGAATTGTCACTGAATTCTTAATGACTACTGTCTGGGCCAAGACATTTACCTAATTCCATATCTATCTAATTTCACATTATTGTGCCCACTCCAGTTCCCATTCTCTTCGATAGGTTTCCTTGATCAAGGCTACCCTAATATTCAATTTAACCAGATTTCCAGTGTAGAAAAAAAATGTTAAGAGTTGGGGCAGAGACCCTCCATCCCCAACAGTATTATTTTAAAAACTTACCCTATACTTTTCCAGATGACCCTGGGAGGTGGGAAAAGTGGGCAATAGGGAGAAGAGATTGAATTCTTTCCGGGCCCCATAGCTTTTAAGGCCTGAACTGTTGGACTATGCATTGGGAATTACCGGAAGGCTTTTGAACAAAGGAGCAGCATGACCATAATTGTGTTTCATGAAGGTTCATCTGGCAGTACTGGAAACTATGGACTGAAGAGAGAGAGAGACCTTGTCTGGGGGTCTGTTGAACTAATCCAGGAATTAGGTGATGAGGGCTTCTATTAAGGTGGTAACAGTGGAAATGGGAAGTAGATGTTAGATGTGAGAGATGTGATGGAGAAAGAATTAGGAGGACTGAGTGACAGCGATTAAAGTTGTGGGTGAGGGATGAGAGAAGTCAGTGGTGACTGAGGTTATGAGCCTTAGTCAACTATGAAAATATGGAAGTTAGGAGAAGGAGCTGATTTGTCTGGGAACACCAGCAACAAACATTTATTAAGCATCTATTGTATGCACAGTGCTGTGTTCAATGTAAGGTTAAATAAGACATAGTCATTACCATGAGAGGTTTTGGATCTACTATGGGATATGAGGCACCAGTCCAAAGTGTACTGTCCCATGCTAAGTTTAGGATAGACTTAGTTTAGTGGGATGACAAACCCTGGATCTATTCACCAGCCAACTAGGAATAAATGATTAGAGCTTGAGAGAAAGGGGTCAGACAAGAGAAATTACATGGAGATCTTAGCTGAAGCCATTGGAGTTGGAGAGGTCAGTGAGGAAGAGTACAGAGAGGAATGGGAGGGGATAGCTGAGATAACATAAGAGTAGACGGAGAAGTAGGAGGGAAACTAAGAAAACGCAGGATTCCTTTTTCTGAAATGTCTGACCATGGTCTCCAAAGACCTTCTACTATGGCTCAGATTTCCTCTCTAAAACAATTAAAACTGGATACAGTCTTCAGCTTCTTTGTTTCAGATGCAGAACATTACAAGTATCCAAATACCTAAAGTTAAGAATCATTCAAAAGAAAATAGGGAGCCCAAAGCCTTGAAGTTGAAAATCACCTAAAGGGTAAGAGAGAGATAGTGGATATGAGCATGCTCTAACTCACTACAGATAAGGAATCACCAAAAAGAAGGTGTTACAAAAGCTGAGGGGAGGGAGTGGAGAAGGGCTAATCAAACGTTATGCTGCAGAGAGAACTGATGGACAGACAACCTGTGATCCACTGGTATTCTCATGATACCAGAACTTGAGGAAGGCCTCCAGAACTTGGGCGGCCTCCCGGTGGTGAATCTGTGAGCAGACCTGCATGAGAGTTATTTGGGATGGATTGCAGTCTTCATCATTGGCAGGAATGTTCACACTGATGAGACTACGGATTCATTTGAATATATAGTTCTCTCGAATAAAGGGGAGAGGAAATTAGATTCAGAAGTTTTAGCACGCAAGTTTAAAGACCAGACTCACGGTTTTTTTGTTTTTTGCTTTTTGTTTTTGTTTTTTAATATTGAACTAGGGAAAATTAGTAGGGCTGGGCTGTGAATGTCATTTTCGTGTCGTATGTGAAGGAGATCGGGATTGGTCTCTAGTTGGCACCAGCTGTGTCAGAGGGGAGGAGAGCTATAGGTGCTCGCTCCGCAGTCCTCACAAAGCCTCTGGCTGCTGGGGCCTCTGAGGGCTAGATGCAGTCTCGGGACCCACAGCTCCAGCACCTCGAGTAGGGGGAACGTTCCCTCCTCCAGCCCACCTCTCCCTCCTTCCCCCCCCGCCCCCAACTCCGGCCCCCAAGGCATTCTACTCTTTCTCTCCATTGCTTTCCTCTTCCTCCTTTTGCTCGCGCGCACCCCCTAGGGAGAACAAACCCCATTTGGGGGATGGATGCAGATGCATGCACACACACTAAATCACGCACACATACTGGCACCCACAATCACGCTGGGGCGCGCGCGCGCGCACACACACACACACACACACACACACACACACACACACTCACACAATCACGTGAACGTGACAGCCACGCTCTCCCAGCGGCAGGAGGCAGCAGCACAGAGGCAGCAACAGCAGAGGCAAAGGCAGCAGCAGCGGCAGCAGAAGCAGGAACAGCAATAGCAATAACGGCCGCCGCCGCCGCCGCCGCCGCTGCAGCCCCGGGAAAGCGAGCGCGAGCCCGAGCTTGAGCCCGAGCCCGAGCCCGAGCCCGAGCCGGAGCCAGAGCCGGAGCCCGAGCCGGAGCCAGAGCCAGGCGGTGGCTGCACAGAGAGGGAGCCGGGAGCTGACGCCAGGACAGTGCTGAGCCCGGCGGCGCCTTGGGCTGGGGGGGAGGGTTGGGGAGGGGGGCGGCTAGCCTTGGAAGTCACCTGAGGTTGCAACCTCCCCCTCCCCGTTTGCCACGGAGAAGACCTACGGACAGAGGGAGGCCGACATGGCGGGGCTTCACTGAAGGAAGCCGTCAGGGAGGAGAGGAGGGGGGAGAGAAGAAGAAAAAAAAATCCCTGCATTTCCTCCTCCTCCTCCTCCTCCTGCGCCCACACACCATCCCTTCTGCTGTGACTCCTCGTCCTCCCCCGGCGTCCTCCTCCTACTCTATGCATTACTAAAACGGCGCAAGGACTGCATCAGGAGGAAAAAAAAATCTCTTGCAAACAAAGAGAGAAAGAGGGAGCGAGCGAGGGTGGGGGGTGGAAATCTCCTAGGCGAGTATGGCGGACCGCAGCTTGGAAAGCATGTCTTTGCCCCTGGAGGTGAGAGCCCGTTTGGCCGAGCTGGAGCTAGAACTATCAGAAGGTAAATGCAATGAATGCAACGACCTCCTCCCTCTCCTCATTCCTCTTCCTACTTCTGTGCCTTTTGCCTAGAAAAAAAAATGACATTTTCCCTTTTGCCTCCTTCCCCCCAGACCCCTCCCGCTCACTCCGTGCGACTTGTTCCAGTGCATCTTGTGGGGATTGGCAGTTGCTGGAAAGTGACATTTTCCAGAGTGTGTGTGCGTGTGTGTGTATGGGGGGTGGGACGGGAGGTGGAGGAGGTGGGGGGGCGGAGGGGATAGGGGTCTTTTCCCCTCTCCTTCCCCACCCCCACAGTTTTCAGCTGGGAGCTCAGTGCAGTTTCAGGGTCTCCTTGGTCTGCTGAATTTTGCTTCTGCAGTTGTTTACTGTAGGTGTAAATGGATTGGGGGAATCTGTCAAGAGAACGAGAAATGAGAGGCAAAGACACACACACACATACACACACACACACACACACACACACACACACACACACACACAAAGATTCCAGATAACGTTTGGCTTTTGGGTGACTCTGACCGAGAATGTGCTGTCCTTCTGCTGGTTTCGGGGCACGATGTCACAGTCTTTTGAAAATATTTTGTGGTGGTGTGTATTTGCAATTCCTGATGGCGTAGAGCACCCACACACATCGCCTCTCCTCTCGTCACCCCCCTCTCTTTCTCTACCTTTTCAGTGGCTGTTCTTTCTTCTAATTTCCACCTCTCCTTGCTGCCTCCTGCCACAGTGGTGGTGGAGGAAGGGAGGAGATCGAAGAAGAGGCTTTGGCCGCAGTTTTTGCTTCTCCAGCTTTGTACGTTTCATTACGGAAGATGGAAAAATCTTTGGGGCTGGGCTTGCAGGGACTTCTGTCCTGCCAAGGAAATATACTATTTTAGTGAAATCCACGCTATCCCCTGAAGTTAACGTCTGTGCATTCCTGGAAGCATGATGTGATCTGCACTATTATATTCCTTAAAAGATCATTTGATTAGAGAAATTATTTTATGCTATGATTGGAGTTTTGGATTTGATGTCTTAGGATGTTTCTGAGCTTCCTGGTTCTGGGCAATAGTTGCTGGGATAAAGTACTACTGACTTTTTTTTTTTAATGTGAAGACTATGGTAAAACCTTAAAACATTTGCCCCCAAACCAAGCTTCAGATATTACTTTCTGAGTGGCATACTTAGGATATGTCAGATTTGCTAAAAATAATTTGTTAGGAAGATTTTTAAAGCAATTGATTTCTTTGGTTGTGATGGTAGAAATGGTGCTCAAAATGTCATGAGTATTAGATGGGTTTTGCAGTGTCTAGTTCACTTTCTCAAAAAAATTATAAAAGTTTACAAGTGTTAATATCAAAACGTGCATTTTTCTGAGTGATCAACTGCTCCACTTCTGGAAGGGCATATCTGAGGAGAAAAATGAAGATGCCTGTCCCAGATTTATCTTTGAACAGGAGTAGTTTTGGGCTATTCAACTTTTTTTTTCTTTTGGTAACGGTTTTATGAGGGCTTCCAGCCAGAAAATGAATTCCCTCATGCCAATTTTCATCAGCAGGGAGGAGCTGATGTTGACATTGTATTTTCCTTTTTAACACTTTGAGGATGAAGGGTCGGATAAACTCTAGAAGATTGTGTGTTCAGACTTGCCCTTTCAGAGCTCCACTGACCATTTTCCTTTTCATATTTCAAATTTGGTTTGCTGCAGTGTGTGTTTAACCAGTCCCCTAAAAAGAGAGGAAGAATGTTTCCTAGGCTATGTGCTGAGTAGCCAATATTCTGATTATTTGGAGAAGCAATTGTGAATACTGCATTCTGTTATGCCAGACAGTCACTAGAATTTCTCAGAGGCTTTTTGTCCAGGAAATAAAGTCCACCATGCAGTTGCCAGAGATAAATTTAATGGCATGATGGCTTAAGAGTGAAATATACTCAGGCTATTGGCAAAACACTTTATGAAAACATCTGTACATTAACTTATTTTTGTACAGGCTCATATTGCTAATTTTTTTCTCATTCTGTCTCTTCTCTACTTTTCTTTTTTAACCTCTCCTCACCCTGACCTTTGTCTCTTCTTATCCTTCGATTGGCCAAAGTGTATGTTTATTCATTAAGTCAACAGAACCTATTTGTTATGTCTCAGTTTTTATCATTAATTCAGACAATTACCTCTATCTTTCCCATTCCCCCAAAGTGAAGGCATTTGTGTCTGATCTGGAGCATCCACAGTCCACTTGCTGCCTACAGCATTCTCTTTTTTTGTATTAACTAATTCAGAGATTATTAGTGAAGTATTGGGAAATGCCTCCGTGATTTGTAGGTTATATGTATCATAGACTAACTCCTTGGAAACAGTTGCTTTATGAGTACTTGGTTTTCAGGCATTCCTGCTCTTAGATGGAAAAGTCTCCAGCTCTCCTCTCTTCTTACTTTCTATTCACAGCAAAGTTGTTTAGGGAATGGCAAAGCCAGATGAAGGAAACCAAGCTGTGCTTAGTTAAACTTACTCTGTTTTGATTTTTTTTAAGGGCACTTTATAGCATGGTTGTATAAGGGGTGTGTATACATGCATGTATATAAATGTTTAAAGACTTATTATTGTCCTTACTCTGTGAACCTAGCCAAGGCCTGGCTTAAAGGTTTGAGATGAGTAAATTCGAAGGCTTGTTGCTTATATGCTGTTCTCTTTAGCCACACCCACCACACAGGAGAGGTGATGCCCATCAGGTGTGTCATCTTTGAAGGTGAAGACTGACCATATTTATGTTGGCTTTATAGAGAGCTCTTTAAGGCCATCTGGAATTGCACATGTTTCCCCCCCCCCCAACCTCATAGATCGGTTTGAATGCATTAAATGAGATGAACCAACTTGTTTTCCAAGATAGCTTGGAGGTAATCAGAGAATCAGTGTGTCAGAACAAAAGTCTCAGTGTTGCTATATGCAGGTAGTGCTTACAAAGCCTCCCATACTACGTTGGATTTCTGCTTCCTGAATGTGTATTTAAATTCCATGGTGTCCAAGATTATATTTTCACTTTTATCTTCAAACAGGATTACTTGGGAGAGGAATTTTTAAAACTTTGTTTTTATATTTGTTTGAAGTGTCAAAATCTTGGAGGAACAGTTGTAGAATCGTCAGTACCCAGGGCCTGACAAGAGAAAATAGAGAAAAGGAATTACTTTTAAGCAGATGACATGAATATGCTTATTTTTAGAAAAATGCTTTAAAAGTTGTGGTAAAGTCTCAGCCAGTCTTTGTATTCTCTGTTCCTAGTCTCCAATTGGTCTGCATTGTTCATTTGGGGCTGTCCTGTACTCAAATGTAGTTTGCATTTATTGGGTCATTGTTTGGCGGGCTGTTGTAGATTAATTTCTTGGCTGGAGAGCTCAGGTCAATCCCAGCCCCTCTTTCTTGCCTGTGTCTGTTACAACATTGCTTCAGTACTTCCCTCTCACTGGGGAAAGCAAGGCCCTTCTCACACAGCAGAACAATGTTGTCAGCAAAATACAAGAGCGTACTGTGGGGAGATGCGGCTGGCAGCCTCTCCTGTGGACAGTAAAAGCATCACATCTGCATGTCTGGATATATCCTCTGGTTTGGGGCCAAGGATCTTGGTCTGTTAGTGTCCTTGGGACTGAATGGAAGACAGACCGATTAAACCATACCACTGAGAATGCCAAGCTGAGTAGAAGTATCTCAGTTTTATGTATCTGTTTTTCAGGATTACTTCTTTCTCCCTTCCTAATATTTCTTTCTACTTTTGAAAGTGACATTTTCCTATTTGGAAACTTGATTAATTGCTAGGATTTGGTTGAAGAAAAACTATTCCTCTCTCCCCCTTCATTCCCTCCCCCGCCAACTACACAATCTATAGCTGCCCCCAAACACTCAGTAAAATAAATCCTGCGCTGTCACACCCCCAGTTTGCTGAAGCTCTTCGTTTTGGTTCAGAAACTGATTGAAGTGCATCTGATTAAAAGTTCTGCTAACTAATCTAGATTTAGTTTCTTTTAGCTTGTTTTCTACTACATAATACCTTCTTTAACATGTAAGGCTGAGTAACCTGTCTACATTCAAATTTGTGTTCTAGGAAGCAAAAGTTTGCCGCATTGCTCAGTTTAGCCTTTCTTTGATGTATATACTTCGTTGAAAGTATTACTGGACCTCTGTAAAGTTGATATTAATTCATAATAAAGCATTTAAAAATATTTAATTGATCCTTTAAAAATATTGCTGTCATTCCTCAGTGACCACTGCTCCTCCAGAACCCCCTCCCTGGTAGGAAATAAGTGTAGTTAAGCAGAGCCAACAACACAGATTGGGTCTGATGATGTATGCCTTATTCTCCACCTGTTGGCTACCAGTTTTCTGCCAGAGGAAGGAAGCAGCTTTTCGTTCGGTCCTGTGGTTGCTGCTTTGTTGAACATCCTGATATCCCTGTGGTGTCTTCCTTTGCATTATTATAGTCATTGTGTGAATAAGTGCTATTAGATTTGTATTCTGCTGGAGCATATTAAAATAGTTTGAGATAACATATGAAAAGCCTTTGGATTTTTGCAAAAGATGAATACATTCTTTTTATTGGAGGGGGCAGGAAATGCTATAAAAATGGATGCAGTACAGTCAACCAATGTTTATAGACCAACTCTAATGTGAATTGTTAGAAATAGAGTAATTCTACCCATTGTCAGTAACCCAGGTGACATCTGTTAGATTGCTTCCAGGATCAGCAGACTCCCTAATAGACCTCTACTTTTCGGTTTTCCTAGGATAGTGTGAGAATTGCACGAAGAAGAAGGTGGAGGACTCATGCAGGTGTCAGTTCCTCTCTTTGTTGGTCAAGGAACTAGGAAGGTCAATTCATTTATAACACTAAGCAGGTGCCAGAGATTTTTTTTTCTAAGTACTCCTTGTTATTATCACAGGGCAGTAGTCAGAGGTGGAGACTCAGCCTATTAGTGCTTGTTGCTGTCTCTTGCTGCACATTGAAAGACACCTTTTCCTTATTTAAACAT